GAAGAGGGTGATGAAAAACTGATTGATCTCCTGTTGGCAAGTAACGCAAATGTGAACGATGTCGATGATGCTGAAAACTCTGCCCTCTATTATGCCGTCAGAAGGAACGAGTTCGCCATCGCCGAGAAACTTATTGAAGCAGGAGCCAGGGTAGACGAGAAATATGCTAAAGGGAAAACAGTTTTACACTTTGCTGCAGAAGAGGGTGATGAAAAACTGATTGATCTCCTGTTGGCAAGTAACGGAAATGTGAACGATGTTGATGATGCTGAAAACTCTGCCCTCTATTATGCAGTCACAAGGAACCAGTTCGCCATCGCCGAGAAACTTATTGAAGCAGGAGCCAGGGTAGACGAGAAATATGCTAAAGGGAAAACAGTTTTACACCTTGCTGCAGAAGAGGGTGATGAAAAACTGATTGATCTCCTGTTGGCAAGTAACGCAAATGTGAACGATGTCGATGATGCTGAAAACTCTGCCCTCTTTTATGCAGTCACAAGGAACAAGTTCGCCATCGCCGAGAAACTTATTGAAGCAGGAGCCAGGGTAGACGAGAAATATGCTGAAGGGAAAACAGTTTTACACCTTGCTGCAGAAAATGGTGATGAAACACTGATTGATCTCCTGTTGAGAAGTAACGCAAATGTGAACGATATCGACAGTAAAGGAAACTCTGTCTTATCTTATGCTGTCAGAGGGAACATGTTTACCATCGTCAAAAAATGTATCAAAGCAGGAGCCAGAGTAGACGAGAAATATGCTGAAGGGAAAACAGTTTTACACCATGCTGCAGAAAAGGGTGATGAAACACTGATTGATCCTGTTGGAAGTAAAGCAAATGTGAACGATATCGACAGTAAAAACTCTGCCCTCTTATGCAGTCAGAGGAACATTTCGCCATCGCCAAAATTATCAAAGCAGGAGCCAGAGTAGACGAGAAATGTGCTGAAGGGAAAACAGTTTTACACCTTGCTGCAGAAAAGGGTGATGAAACACTGATTGATCTCCTGTTGACAAGTAACGCAAATGTGAACGATGTCGATGATGCTGAAAACTCTGCCCTCTATTATGCCGTCAGAAGGAACGATTTCGCCATCGCCGAGAAACTTATCAAAGCAGGAGCCAGGGTAGACGAGAAAGTGCTGAAGGGAAAACAGTTTTACACCTTGCTACAGAGAAGAATGAAAAAAAACTGATTGATCTCCTGTTGAGAAGTAACGCAAATGTGAACGATGTCGATGATGCTGAAAACTCTGCCCTCTATTATGCCGTCAGAGGAACAATTTCGCCATCGCCGAGAAACTTATCAAAGCAGGAGCCAGGTAAACGAGAAATGTGCTGAAGGGAAAACAGTTTTACACCTTGCTGCAGAAAAGGGTGATAAAAAACTGATTGATCTCCTGTTGACAAGTAAAGCAAATGTGAACGATGTCGATGATGCTGAAAACTCTGCCCTCTTTTATGCCGTCAGAAGGAACAATTTCGCCATTGTTGAGAAACTTATCAAAGCAGGAGCCAGGGTAGACGAGAAATGTGCTGAAGGACAAACAGCTGTACACCTTGCTACAGAAATGGGTGATGAAACTCTGATTGATAAGCTGTTAGCAAAAAACGTAAATGTGAATGATATTGACTTTAAAGGAAATTCTGCCCTTCATTATGCCGCTAGGGAAGGCAAAATCGCCATCGTCAAGAAACTTATTAAAGCTGGGGCAAGCGTAGAAAGGAAGGATGTCAAAGGGAGAACAGTCTTACATATTGCTGCTCAACTTAATGATGAAAAATTGTTTGATTTGTTGTTAAAAAATAAGGCTAATGTAAATGAAATTGACGATAAGGGAAACTCTGCCTTGTATTTTTCCGTCGAGAGATGTAATTTGGTCATCGCCGAGAAACTTGTTAAAGCAGGAGCCAGCATAAGCAGGAAAAACGACGAAGGAGAAACTGTGTTACATATTGCTAAGGAACATGGTGATAACAAACTGATTGACGTACTGTTGAAAACAAGGGGTATGTAGAATTTAGTACTTAAAATGCTTCGATCGTATCAGTTGTGTAGCCCGCTCGATAAGTGGGGGGGGGGTATAGGGCATCTTGGGCGCTGGATGATCGCCCGTCCCACATAATTTATTTCATTATTCATCATTGAAATTGATTGTTTTTTCCCACCTAACGATACTGGCGAAAACGGTATCGTTTTTTGCCAAAAAGTTTTTAGTGTGCATGTGTAAACGTTTCATGCATAACTGTATTTCAAAACAGCTGGCAGATCCGTATAATTTCTTATTTTTTCAGCAATTATGATTTTTAGGATTTTTAAAAATAATTTAATTTGATTTCTTTAGATTTTACGAAAAATTTTATGCGGATAGTGCATGTCAATAAAAGCTATTTTGATGAAAGTGTCGGAAAAAAGATAAATATACGACTGAACTCCTTACATGATTGCATGCATCACATTAAAATGGACATACTCCTTACGCTTATTGGCCGGAGTGTTTTTTTTCTGATCTTGTTTACTGAAGATGTAAGACCTTTTAACCGAGTGCGAGGTTTGTACGGGAATGTATTGCTTGAGGTTTTTGATTTTCGTACAGATCGAGCGACGAAGGAGCGAGTTATATGGCTTTGTTAAAATTATCTAAAGATTTTTTAATTAATATTTTGTAACCTTTTGCTGCTACACCATTTGATTGTCTTTTTATTGGCGGTTTATGTCTTCGCCTTAAAATGTAGCATTTGGGTCATTTGTTTCTCCAGGATAGTAAAACTCACTCGGGGAGTGTTTTTCATTGTCACCGCACGGCATGATAATCTTTTATTATTAGTTTTTGTTTAAATTTTATTTGTACAATTAAACTTTTTTCAAGCGCGCAAGATAAATTTTTGAGAGGGCAAGATGACTTTTTCCAGACCGCTAATCAACCAATCAGCATTAATTTGGACTTTGCCCTCGTAGAAATCACGAGCTCTAATATAATTGCATTTCATTAAGTTATTGTAAAAATCGCGCGTTCTACTGTGTCTGTGGCCTTGTATTTTGTGGTAGTTAAAAGTGGCTTTTCATTGAACTTTTGATATTTTCAGTTTCAGTTGGTCCAAGTGGAGGTGTTATTCAATTCGACGACGTCACACTTAAGTTGGGAGCCGAGTGTCTCCTGGGAGATACACAAATTACTTTGGTTAATAAAACCCCGGAAGATTTTCCCACAGAGTCATTGCTTGACTTAGGTCTTGTTAAAGTTATCCCCCATGTTGTTGAATTCCTCCCGAATCACTTGAAATTTTTAAAACCAGCGGTTCTTATGATCAAACTCGAAAGACTTGTCTCTGGTATGGAACTTTTCATCTTACATGGCTCCTACCATGACAATTACCAAAAGATTACGTGGGAAGTTGTGAGTAATAGTATCGAGAGAGACGATGTTGAAGGGGTTTCGAGTGTAAAAATTAACGGCTTCTCTCTCTACAGTTTCATTTTGGCGATGCGGGGAATGTTAGCTCGAATCTTATGTCACCTCAATTACTCGTTTGTCTGCCGAGCCTATGTCTTGTATCGCAGAATTAGTTCCAAGGGAACAGTGGATATCGCTGTTGTCCTCGTTAGCGAGTTTGTTGATGACAATAACGAAGACGATATTAAACAGTTGAAAGATCACTTTGAAGGTGGTTATCGCACAGGGGAGAAAGGAAAGCTGGCCTGTGTTAACACTGATCTTCGTTATAAAATAAGTTTAAATTTCACCGAAGTCGAAATCTGTCATTCTTTTGAGATTAACCAGGCTCAACTGGATTCAGATGGTTATGCGATCAACTGTTTTGCTGAATTAGCGAGTCCGGCAAATGGAAATGTTGAAATACGCGAAGAAAGTCAAAATACATTGTTGTGGAAGTTGACTGTTTGTGAGATCGTGCAGGAGACGGAAGAGGAAAAAACTGCTGGTAGGTTTTTTACTATATTCTAAAAAATGTAGTGCAAACTTTATCGCTATAGAAGAGTCCATGCAGCGATATTTGGCAGTTTGTAATTTGTTTTGTGGGAAGCAGTTTTGACAAACTGACGTTGATTCAATCATGCAGATTCTTGCGTGAAACATCATCTTAAATGGTAATACTTTAATGATAGGAAGCTCAACAGTCAGGTTTTAATTTGTATGAAATAAGATAAATACAAGTTTTCATTTATCTTAACCGGGCGCTGCAGTACGTATGCTAGAAATACATCCAGGCAGTATCCCCTCGCCATTTTAAAAAAAGCAAAATATTTCCTGAGCTAGCCAGACCTTACCCTCTAAGCTTATATCATGAAATGACTTAAATAAGCCATACGCATAGCTGATGTTTCAAATTTTTCGAAAACAAATGCAATAGTAAAGGTGAAGTAAAATCACCAGTATTCCGGCTGCATTTAGTCATTAGCTGCATGTTCGAGTTAATACACACACTAATTCACTAAATCTTCAAAACATAAAAACAGCACAAATTAGATTTGTTCTGTCACAATACCTGGGTCTAACTCCTAATCTCCGGGCGGAATTAGTATCCTCACACGGCGCTCCGCACCGGCTCGGGGGATTATAGAAGAAGATATGGATTTTATGTTCGAGTGATGAAACGTTTGTTGGAATTTGTCGTGCCTCGACGCGTGATGTACGAATTCGTCCAATAAGATCACCTTTTTTCTACTATTAAGCCTTTTTTCCACTAGGCGGAATCTTTGTTTTTCTTACATTAGTGCTGCATGGAAGCGCGCAGAAAATTCCGCCTAGTGGGAATGAACCCTTAGTTGAAAAATCGGATAGTTTAACCACGATACAATAATATGATATTTACTTTTACTCGATATAGACGTCAAAACAGCTGGCAAATCGTCAGCAAATCCTCCGAAAAGACAACAAAATTCCCAACTGCAATATTCTCTAAAACAATGTTGATACATTTTTTAAAATACCCTTTTTGTGCTTATAACATTGCACTTAATATTATGAATTATATTTTAGTACACAGCACAGAAACGGAACCCATCCAAAAAGGTATAGTGTAACATTGAAATATTCTTAAAACATTTTGCTAATGCCACAGTGTCATTCGAAATCTCTAAGCCTATCCATCTTGGGCAAGATTAACTATTTACCTAATTATTTTAAAAATAATTGGGTAAATTCATTTTGATCAGTTTAGGAAAATTATTTTGTTATCTCGTAGACGTGCGTCGGACCACAAAGCTTACAAACGCTGAAATATGTCGAATGAGCTGTAGACTTGGACTAGACTGGGACAGCCTAGCTGGACTCTTGGATATTCCGTATTATGATCGCGAGGAAATCAGATTCAATTTCGTCAAGTTTTCCTCAAAATCCGAACAAGTTTTCCAACTTTTTAATAAAAGCCAGTCCTTTGATCGTAATACTTTGGTAAAGTGCTTAAAAGAAATAAAGCGACAAGATTTAATGGAAGTAATGCTTCCGCATGAGAACGAGGTAATTTAATGCTTATTATTTATTAATGACCTTTCTTTTTATCAACGTATCAGCCAAGAAAGTTGCCCAATATTTAGTGTTCCATGCAGTGCATCACCCGTGAAAATGTTCTCGCTCTTCGGTGCTCTCTCTTGAGCGTTACTCAAATTCCCTGATATTAACAGCCTTTCTATGTTCTTAAGTAAGAACGCTCATTCTTTCCCACTCACTCTCTCCAAATATACAACATATAAATTATTAGGTTATTTTCTATAAATTTATGTAATCTACAATCTAATCGGAACATGTTCGTCAAACTGTCCGTTTTAAGGATCCTACAATTCCCTAGCTGAAACACTTTCTGAGAACGCCCCTGCTAATTCCTGACTTTTGTTTAAAGGGCCTAAGGACTTAACTTCATCTTTTCCATGATTGCTTCGGATAATTATGCAAAACTGCCCATGTTCCATATGTTGACTTGTTTTACTTAGTTGTAAAAAAAATTATAAGAAAGACGGATCTCCATAAAAAAAACGTCAACTTGATGCGACAAACTGAATATGTTCCAGGCATGGTGAAATATTGATTTTCTTCCAGGCGCAGAGTCAAACTGAGGACGTGGAAACCCGATCATTGCAAACTCAGGACTCTGAGGACAATCAGTTTGTTAAAATGCGTCTTTCTTCTCGAGAATTGTATAGACTAAGTCGAGGCATTGTTGTTGATTGGGAAAATCTTGCTGGTCTTCTGGACATACCTGTAGAAGACAGAAATATCATTCGCACTAGCAATAAATACCATGATGGCCGCAGTCGAGCTGAAAAAATGCTATCGATTTTTAATCGTCGGGAAGATTTCTCACGTGAAAAACTAGTTCGCTGCTTGGAGGAAATTGGGCAGCTTGAATTGATAGAGCCAATCTCAAGTGGGGAGTGGAGAAACGTATGAAGAAGATTAATTATCTTTGTGGTAAGTTATTTTGTATCAAACCAGTGTTTTAATTCGGCTTGCCGAAAAATGCACGTGGGGCATGTCCACGAGAAAAACCTGTAAATTCGGATCGTTTGTCGTTCGATCCAGATTGAAATTTCTTCTCTTTACGTCACTCTCTCTGTTTTTCAGGTGTTTAGATGCGTTGTCGATGCCGGTGACAAAATATTAAATTTTAGTAGAAATCCTTCACAGTGGATACTAGTATAATTAAATAAATATTATTAGTTAGAGAAACAAAAGGGAAGGAAACATGAAATCCGTAGGCCAAATTATTGTTTGGTAATCTCAGAGGTTCAATTCATGTCAAAGTACCCAACTTTTATCAGTCAGTTTTAAAAATGGTGCATTAACATTTTTAAATTTTACATTTTTTAAACCTAAAAGTCCCCGGCTTGGTAATTGCGAGTACAGTTTTTAAGTACGCGCAGTTTCATGCATTATATACTCACCCATACTCATTACCGGAAAATTCCTCTGTAGGGGCTGTTTACCTGTTCCCGCTCCGCCGATATTTAACGAAGTGTGAGATGATTTTGAGGTATTGAAGTTAGTATATAACATCAACCCGGTAGTCTGTAGTTATCAAAACAATCGTATGTGCTTGTCCGGTTTCATATAAGAACTTTTTAAAGCCTTAAAATCATCTTGCGCTTCGTTTGGTCTCGGGTAATTGTGCTCATGTTTACAGCCCTTGTGAGAACGTGTTTGTCCGCCATGAACCGATGAGATGAGCTGCTGTACTGTAAAGTATAATTAAACACAGCAGAAAGGTGGGAGTTTATTGTGTAACCTGATGTTTTGCAATTTTCAAACCAAACTGCCATCACTTAGCTTGAAATCAAAGATGGCTGCAATTAAAGCAAATACATCTCATTTAGTCAACGCTGATTTAGTATCTATCTAACGTAGTCAACAGTAAAATAAACGGTGAGTTAATTCTATCATATTTTATATAATGAGGCACACACTAGTTACAGTAGTCGTCAGAATAGTTGTACATGCGGTGAATGTTGTAGAGCAAACATGGCATTTTTGCCCGTAAGAACGATCGAATCGAGAGGATGAAGGAAATTTCTATATAATTTATTGTAAAAAAATACATCCTGAATCTGTTGTAACCACTCGTATAATTTTGGCTACCTCTTCCGCAGACCGCAAGCGCTATGGAGCATTTCGGGCGATTTCGGCAAAATGTCAATGAAATATATATCACCGTCCGCCATAGTTTGGCGGAAAAGGGTCTGCGGAGGAGGTTGTGATTTTGGCATTAATTATATCTCTTCTGTAATCTTTGGCAATTAATTGCACCCTTTGCGAGTTGTAATCTTAATAATAATAACCCTAAACAGCTAAATTGCACAAATTATTTTCGTTATGACTTATTAATAGGATAGTTTTATTTGTCTGCGCGACTGCAGCAGTCTGCCATTGCTTGAAATTTAGCTAAAGCTGCATTTAGTCGTTAACTGCAGTGCTGCAATAATTATATCCCCCAGTCAAAGATGTTTTAACAACAAAACATTTAAATTATAGCAATTGACTCCCTTTAACTCATGCCTTTGTTTTGTCACTTTTTATTGGTAAATGGGATAAAAATATTTGGACGGCCGGAACGGAATTTTTCGGAATATGCTGCTTCCAAGAAAAGGTCGCCTATATGTATCGTAATGACATTGTCTGAAGAAAGCTAACTAGATAAAATTTTCTGCGCATACTATAAACACATTTTTCTCGGAGATGAAGCTAAAATAATTGTATTTCGTTGCGTTGTATATATTAGAGTGGCGATTTTTATTACATAGGTTATTTGCGTCTTATATGGCTTGCCAGCCGTTTACTATTACACGAATCTTAATAGCTATAGTTTACCTCCTAAACAACGATATTTAGGGTTAATTGAAAGCAATAATATTCTTGTAATTTTGCCATGCTGGATATCACAATATAAGTAAATTAGCTTGTAGGTACACCTATGACGATGTACCTACAAGCTAATTTACCAGGTAAACAATGAGCTTCAGTCGACGGGTGTAAGAGGACTGGAGCACAGCACTATTATGTAACTTGATGCCTTGCAAGCGGCAAGGTTGTGGCAAGGTTATGGTCGAACGAATGGTTATGACTTAAAGACACGTTATCATGCATGTATTCTGATGTAAACAACTGAACATAAACGGTGAGTGAGTTATAGATCAATTACTAATTTGTCTTTGGAAAGGATCGTGCATGCGGTAAATTTTGTATAATTGTAACATACATAACATACACGACGATATTTGGCAGCAAGGAAGCACTGACGTGTGTTTGAACATTTACAAGGGAATTTATTAACTATATACAGTTACACTTGAACTCTTTCTGCAGAAATAAGATATATTTCATTGCTCATTTGAAACGACTTTGAGCCAACCAACAGAATATTCATAGTAGCTGCAAATTCATCGTCATTTATAATCATGCATGTAGACTACGTTGTAATAGTATTTCAATGTCATGCAAGTTGCCAAGTTCGTATATTATTAAAGATGCCAATTGTAAAAGAGAGTTAGTAACACAATTGAGTCCAACTGACTCTGAAATGGGACGCCGGAGATACATAGGTAGCGAACGGTATAAACAATTGGCCTTGTTTCTCTGTTGTGACAGTTGTGTTCCCATTTTGCATTATGGCACCCGTAATATTACAAACCGGAAGTGCCAAATATCGAAATCTGGAATAAGATTTGTCTCTTGCTCGAATCCTTCAATCACGTATGAATTAAATACATTACCACTGCGGCGGTAATACAAGTTGTATTATTATTGTATCGTTTGTATGTCTTCTAAGTATGCGAGCCGACTTACAGAATACAGCCCTTGCCCTTGAGATTGGCGTTTTATACGGCAAATTGCTAACAAACTTTGTGTATTTTTTTAACTCCACTATTTTAAAATGTGCAAAGGTTTCCCTTAAATATAAACGTTCTACATAAAATCGTGATGTTCAGCAGTGATGTAAGAAAGCAAAGGCAATTGCTGATGTATTTAGCCAAACAGTAAATACAGCTTCGTAGTTTGTGCTTCACGTTTGCCGTATAAAATTTAATGCTCGAACGGCTGTAAGTGTATGCAAATTTTTTTCACTTTCGGGTCTTTATACCGGAATAAAGAATTTTTAATTTTTTGATACGGCCAAAATATTTTGTTCACAATATTTCCAGAGAAATTTACATGCTACATAATTAAAATCTAGGTGATAAGTTGAATCGCGTCGCCGTCGTTGGTTGCGTCGAATGCAATTCAAACAATAGATAATACGATGATAAACCTGTAAACCATCTAGCGAATCATCTAGCGAAATAGCGACAGATAACCTAGGTCTAACATATGTAAACATATACAATAAATCTTCGTGGATTTAATAAATTCTAACGTACTCAATCTTTTTTTGTTAACCAGGTTGTCATGGCTGCTCCCCCAGAACCACCACAGCCACCAACCGTGGGTCTCGATGTTAAAGTAAAAGTTACAAACGAAAGCATAGAATTAAGATTCAGATGCAGCACGGGCGTGGCAGTGTTATTGGGGGTTACTGGCGTGACGCTGGGGGCACTTTACGGCAAAGAAAAGATCCAACCTGTTATAGAAAGATTGTTCAATTCTGTTTTTGGCTTCTGCAAACTCACCCCTGGATCCATTGTCGTCGATGTTGACTGCTTTTCAGCCAAGCGTGTGAAGGAATTACTTGACAATTACAAATGTGGAAAACTAAAAAGTCGGTTTTTGGATGAGCTGCAAAAGATTGATGGCAAGATTGAAAACCTAAAGATCAGATTTGAACTAAAAGAAACTTTGGCGATGAACACAAATCGCAAACCAAGGTAAAACTTGCTTCAGTTATCTTTCCCATGAACTATGGCGCAAATATTTACTCTCCCCGGCGTCAAACTTCTGCGTGTTTTCCTACATAGCACCAATACTATGTATTACTGTAGCTTTGTAAAGACGACAGAAATATGTGGTTATTCCTGGCCTATTCTAAGGAATTTCTAATAATGCAATGAGTCAAGTGCCATGGTTGAAACATTGAGATTTGGACTCCGCGATGTACAGCTTCAGAAAATAACTTTCCTTTTCAGAAATATATATCATCATTGAAATGGCATACACAGATATATTGAAATAGCCAACACAGGCTTTTTATAACCATTTTACAACACATATATGAGTTTTATATTTTGACAAAATTTAGAGTTAATATAAAGATGTTTCGAGACATCTTTAAATTTATACTGCACACATTCACATTCAATTATACTGCACACATTCACATGCAATACTGCACACTTTCCTGTCTGCTCTGTGGTTATTATATGCGACACTATGATTGTCGAGGTTGATTGGTCACAACATATAAGTGCAGCCGCATGCGGAGGGAGCTTTTATAATTAACATACTTGCAGACAGGTGAGTTCAGGATTTGACGCACCGAGGGAGGCTGGAGGTTTTCCGAACTCACCTCGCGTTTTATCTCATTCCATCAGGAGTGTTACCCATTGTGAAATTTATAGTACGTAATTTTTTGTTCAAAAATCGAACATTTTAGTCCCAAACATGCAACGTACTGTATACAAACAAACTTACGCTCAAGTTAAAGCTGAAAAAAGTCTAACATATTCCCTTATTTTGCCGAACAATTCTCGGCAGCCATCTTGAAAATCCTGAACCCACCTCGTAAATCGACATTGGGAGGTAGATTCGGGTCTGGATGCTGCTGCTCTTAGCCAATAGGAACACAGCCTTTACACTAAGTATGAGATGAAGTAAAAAGTCACGAGGCGCAGGAGAACTTTAATTGATTTGTAAACACTCGTATGATTTTGGCATTAATTGCATTGCTATTCGTTTTTAGTACCATGTTTAATTGCTGCCGCAACGAGCGAGCCTGAGGAGAGCGAGCAAAGCACTTCTAATCTATACCAATTAGGAGAGAAAATCTCCACTTGCCATGCGCGTTTCATTGTTGCAGCTCTAAAACATTCTTTCACTTTTACCTGCATGCAATGCGGCCGGATAATGACGGCATATTTCGAATATAAACGAAAATACTTTTCATCACAACAAAGCTAGACATCGGGTGAAATCTTACACTATGGTCTGCCACCTTGGTCTGCGCTAATTATTCCAACGAATTCATTATTCTTGTAAAGATTACTATCGTTGCAAACGCAAGAAGCTATAAACGCTAGAACAAGCGATATATCAACGTCTGAATGCGCCAAAATTTCTATACGTTGACAGTAGCGTAGCCAGCCTGTTGATTTGTCCCGCTATGCTAATATCTTAGTGTTCACTGAAGTGAAAACAATAAATTTCTAAAGACATGAATAATTATAATAACTCGAAATTTACATAGCGGGACATAATCGTCAGGCTGGCTACGCCACTGTACGTTGACCGGCTGACATATTGGCAAATTATAATCGGCGAATTTCGTGAAACGTTTTCTATCAAACCTCGAAAATATGTTTGCGATGATGGTCGTTTTTAGAAGGAAGATATGATGCTTAACTCACGCGTACTCTTAGGAAAAGTATGGGCCAAATGAAATTAGATATTTCCTCTACTCTAGCCACGCGGCTCTATCTTCAACTGTTCCTGGCTTGAATTTGAAGTGTGTATAATTCCACTCGAAATTAAGACCCTTTAAACCCCTAGATTAAATATTAAAGTTCAATAAATTGTTCCTTTGATTACAGAAGATATATAAATAATAAGTAATGGAACGAATTTTGCCGCGGTCGGTTGATTTTTTAGCCACTCGTTTGATTTTGGCAGTAATTGCACTCTCTATTATACCATTATTCGCTGTGAATTGTAGTAATTATAAACACTGTACCTACATGTTTATTTAAGAACCTTTGGACAAAGGAAAGAGAAAAAATCAAAGAAAGTAGAAGAACGAACGCAAGCCATGTCTGAAAACGAGGTAATAATATTTTATCGAGATGATACGAAGAATCAATGCTCTAGAAAACTTACGAAATGGTATTAATCTGATGTTTCATTTTGAAATATCTACTGTGCGTATTTTTAGAGATCACAAAACAGGTTAAAAACCCCTACAATTTAAAGCAAGCTTTAGCGCATTCTATCTATAATATTGATAACCCCAAACAGTTCAGTTAAAATACACAATATTTTTTCGTTATAATATAGTTTGTCTGCTCAACAGAGCGCTCTATGACTTTGCTTGAGATAAGCTGCGTTTATGCTGCTTAACTGTGCTGCAATAATTATATCACGCGCCTGAATTATATGTGCTCGCAGACTGAATTAGGGTCCGGAAGTTAAAGAGAGAAAATTCAAGGTTAATTTCTGGCCCCCTAATTCAGTCTGCATGCGAGTAGGCTACTGAAATATGTTTTAACCAAAAAACGTTTCAATTATAGAAATTGACTCTCTTTAGCTCATGCCTTCGTTTTGTAACTTTTCAAGGATAAATGTAAAAAGGATATTTAGACAGCCGGAACGTAATTTTTCGGGGAAAACGTTTCCCATGAAAAGGTCGCCCATGTATCGCCATTGTCTGAAAGTATATCCCTGTATATAAAACACTTAAAACGCATCATTTCTCCTAATAACAATGCAAGGATTCTCTGATGTAAAATTTGCGCAAAATTAGCATGTTTGGAATTTTTACCGTACTGGACATTTATGCGTAAGAATAGTTACCAATCTACTTTTGGTTAAAATGGTTAAATTATTGATGGAAAATAACCAAAAATTAACATATATCTGCCATCTGAGTCGAATCCCCCCCCCCCCTATGAAATCACATGTATTACAGTACATATCAACTTTCTTTCAAGTACCTTGAGATGTTGGAAAGCATCAGAAAGTTGGATGGTGTGACAGAGAGGCTTATTAATTTATCCGAAATCGACGATGATAGATGTCATAATTACGACAAGGATGATAGTCCGTACAGCGATGTCATCAGTACAAGTGATGAGCACGGAAGGACAATCTTGCACTATGCCGCCGTATTGGGAAACCATGCATTGTTAAGATATTTCAATAATCTCTCGCCATCCATTTCTGACGCACGGGATTGTGATGGCAGGACTTTTTTACATCTTGCATTCATACCAACCAAACTTTTTATTCCTCACGAAAGTTTCGGAAAACTTTGTGGTGGTGGCAATTCATTCTATACTGGTAAGGCAACTATAGATGCTCGAGACTGCGAATATCGAACTCCGCTGCACTACGCCGGCATGCACAATGGTGATGTTGAAAGTTTAATAGAAGATAGAGCAAACATTCTCGCCATTGATGCATATGGTAAAACGCCTCTCGACTATGCCGTGGATCATGGTAATACCAAAGTCGTAGAGTGTCTTCTGCTACAACATAGAAAAGAAAAAGCCTCGCTAAAGATAACGAAAGACATCAATACTGTGGACGAGGAAGGAAGAAACATACTACACAAACTCGCAGCTTTTGCCAGTCCTGAAGCAATAACTGTACTTCTCGATGCTGGATTTGACATGAATGCTAAGGACAAGATAGGAAAAACTGCGTTGGATTATGCATTTGAACATTCGAATGTCGAGTCTGCCATTGCACTTTTCGATCGTTTACTAGTAAAAGAACCGGTTCATTCATGTGTTGTTCTAGTTAAGAAATATTCGAAGATGAAAGATTCGCTTTCTCGGACAATGCTACACCTTTCTGTGATTCATGCTAGGCAGAATGTGTTAAAGCTGCTGTTAACCCAATATTGGGACGTAAACCATCGCGACGATGCAGGAAAGACTCCTTTACATTATGCTTTCCAGCATGGTAATCTCGACGCCGCCGAGAAACTTCTTAAAGCTGGTGCTAGTGTGGATGAGAGAGATAAAAACAATGAAACAGTTGTACATCTTGCAACAAGACGTGGGGACGAAAAGGCTATAACGTATCTATTACATCTTGCTGCTAAAGAGGGTAATGAAGATCTGCTTGATCTATTGTTGAAGTATAACGTAAATGTGAAAGCTGTTGACAGAAAAGGAAACTCTGCCCTACATTATGCGGTCGGGCAGAGAAATGCCGCTATTGTCGAGAAACTTATTAAAGCTGGAGCAAGCTTAGATGGGGAAAATGACGAAGGACAAACCGTATTACATGTTGCTGCAAAATATGGTGATGAGAAAGTGATTGATCTTCTTTTAAAAAGTAACGTAAATGTGAAAGCTGTTGACAGAGAAGGAAACTCTGCCCTACATTATGCCATCAGGTATAGAAATGCCGCTATTGTCGAGAAACTTATTAAAGCTGGAGCAAGCTTTGAAGGGGAAAATGACCAAGGAAAAACGATATTACATGTTGCTGCAGAATATGATGATGAGAAAGTGATTGATCTTCTTTTAAAAAGTAACGTAAATGTGAAAGCTGTCGACAGGAATGGAAACTCTGCCCTATATTATGCCATCTGGCAGAGAAATGCTGCTATTGTCGAGAAACTTATTAAAGCTGGAGCAAGCTTAGATGGGGAAAATGACCAAGGAAAAACGGTATTACATGTCGCTGCAGAATATGATGATGAGAAAGTGATTGATCTTCTTTTAAAAAGTAACGTAAATGTGAAAGCTGTTGACAGAAAAGGAAACTCTGCCCTACATTATGCCATCAGGCAGAGAAATGCCGCTATTGTCGAGAAACTTATTAAAGCTGGAGCAAGCTTAGATGGGGAAAATGACGAAGGACAAACCGTATTAAATCTTGCTGCAAAATATGGTGATGAGAAAGTGATTGATCTTCTTCTAAAAAGTAACGTAAATGTGAAAGCTGTCGACAGGAATGGAAACTCTGCCCTACATTATGCATTCAGGCAGAGAAATGCCGCTATTGTCGAGAAACTTATTAAAGCTGGAGCAACCTTAGATGGGGAAAATGACGAAGGAAAAACCGTTATACATCTTGCTGCAAAATACGGTGATGAGAAAGTGATTGATCTTCTTTTAAAAAGTAGCGTAAATGTGAAAGCTGTCGACAGGAAAGGAAACTCTGCCCTACATTATGCAGTCCAGCAGAGAAATGCCGCTATTGTCGAGAAACTTATTAAAGCTGGAGCAAGCTTAGAAGAGGAAAATGACGCAGGACAGACATTATTACATATTGCTGCAGAATATGGCGATGAAGAACTGTTTGATCTATTGTTGAAGTATAACGTAAATGTGAAAGCTGTCGACAGGAAAGGAAACTCTGTCCTACATTATGCGGTCGGGCAAAGGAATGTCGCTATTGTCGAGAAACTCATCAAAGCTGGAGCAAGCTTAGAATGGGAAAATTACGAAGGACAGACATTTTTACATATTGCTGCAAAATATGGTGATGGAGAACTGTTTGATCTATTGTTGAAGTATAACGTAAATGTAAAAGCTGTTGACTGGGAAGGAAACTCTGTCCTACATTATGCCGTCAGGCAGAAAAATGCCGCTATTGTCGAGAAACTTATTAAAGCTGGAGCAAGCTTAGAAGAGGAAAATGACGCAGGACAGACATTATTACATATTGCTGCAGAATATGGCGATGAAGAACTGTTTGATCTATTGTTGAAGTATAACGTAAATGTGAAAGCTGTCGACAGGAAAGGAAACTCTGTCCTACATTATGCGGTCGGGCAAAGGAATGTCGCTATTGTCGAGAAACTCATCAAAGCTGGAGCAAGCTTAGAATGGGAAAATTACGAAGGACAGACATTTTTACATATTGCTGCAAAATATGGTGATGGAGAACTGTTTGATCTATTGTTGAAGTATAACGTAAATGTAAAAGCTGTTGACTGGGAAGGAAACTCTGTCCTACATTATGCCGTCAGGCAGAAAAATGCCGCTATTGTCGAGAAACTTATTAAAGCTGGAGCAAGCTTAGAAGGGAAAAATAACAAAGGAGTGACATCTTTACATGTTGCTGCAATATATGGTAATAAAGAAATGATTGATCTGCTGTTGAAAAAAAAAGCAAATGTGAAGGTTATCGATAGTGAAGGAAAATCTGCCGTTTATTACGCTGTTGAAAGGAGCGATGTCGCCATCGTTGAGATGCTTTTAGAAGCTGGAGCCGGTGTAGAAGGAAAAGATTATAGAGGACAAACAGTTTTACATCTTGCTGCACAAAACAATGATGAAAAAATGGTTGATCTGCTGTTGAAAAATATGGCGGATGTTAATGATATTGACAGAAGGAGAAACTCTGCCGTACATTATGCTCTCATGAGGGGCAATCTAGCCATCGTCCAAAAACTGATTGAGGCTGGAGCTCTCATTAGCGAGAATGATAAATATCTTTCGTCTGCTTTATTGACAAAAGGTAAGTCAAAATGTTTCTATTTTTTGTACAACATATAATCCATTATCCGGTTACCACCCTGCATAGCACCAAACAGCGCTTTTCTCGTGTCTTGTTTCATGAATTTGGAGGTTGTAAACTTGCCCTGGCAAAATATCTTGACCGGGAGATTTTCAGTTTTCGATATTTTAGCCGGAATTTTAACATAGAGTCGAATGTGAGAAAGCTTTTCAATAGTATTTTTTTAAAAAAGGAAAATATACGAATTTCTTAAATTGCTTCGATGCCATGACAACGAGCATATTTAATTTATTTTCACCGGTGGTGTTGAATGTTGATATCACTTAGACCATCCATGACTTTTTGACGTTTTTCTCATTCAATTTTTATAAAAATTAGCAAATTTATTTTACATAGTTACAGGCATTCCTAGGTTCTGTAATTACTCTCTGCGTCTGAAAAGACATTTTCTCGACAGTAAGCTAATATAGGGAATTTAAAATTCGTTTTGTAAAGAATTTAACGGCAATGGAAATATTAGTTCATTTTAAAATATTTTGATAAAAAAAAGGATCCCGTAATTTTAGATCAACAGCTCTTGCTAGTTTCTTATTTTTTTCGATTGAAGAAGAATGATCAATCCAAAAATCGTAGTGCATATTCAGTTTTTTCCAAACAAGCACTCATTCATTACATCAAAGAAAGTGACAACGTTGTCCCCGGTTCAAAAATGCCTCGTTCGACAAGACATCTTTCAAGTTAATTAGAAATGACTAAGTCAAGGCTCAACAAGATAAAATAAATTGGCGGCACAAATTAGGCGAATACGTTTGGGTATACAGTACTTTATTACCGCCATACACCGACTAATATCTAGTGAATTTTGATTTAGTTTCAGGCTCATCAAGTTCATTTGAGCCAAGCGAAGATGATATTCAGTCAGACGAGAGCACACCAGGATCAACAGCCAGATGCCTTATCACTTGAGGATACAAACAAAAATAACTTTATTTAGAAACCCCTACGACTGCATAGTGTGCCCAGTGAACTCCATATATATGGAAGGATCACTCTAGTACATTGCGAAATCTGAAAGTAAAGCCAAAAATGGCAGATCGTGAAGGCTGCTTGGGTACCGAACCAGACCTCCACACACGAGCGGTTAAAATTCAATATGGCGGCAACGTGTAGGAGTAGAACTCTGTCAGTTTTGTAAACACAACACAAATATACGGCAAAAGTTACCTCTCTAGAAAGAATAACATTGCCAGGTAAGGCTGTAACAAATTGTATGCATTCATTTTTAAAAACTTTGTATTTTGAAAACTTTGTAACGTCCGGAATGTTAGCTTTTTTATTTTTCGTCATAGTTTTATAATTCGCGCCTTTAGTTTCCATGCGCGCTTCGCGCATTCTACGCTTCGTGGAGGTCTTGTTCAGTACCCAAACAGCCTTCATGATCCGCCATGTTTGGCTTCACACTTTGAACTGGAGCGAGCCTTCCATATATAGAGAGTTTACTGGGTGTGCCATTTACACAATAACAGCAAATTTTACTACTTCGAGGCCTAGGTGATGTTGACACTTCAATTTATCCCTGAGCCGGGCGAGGGTACTAATTCCGCCTGGCGATTTTAATTATGCCCGGGATGGAAATGCGAAATCGAAGTTGTCCGCCTTTATGTCATGGACATTGGGTGTTTTTTTAAGTTATGCGCATGCGTGAGTTTAACACGAGTTAAAACTGTTAAGTAGCAAACGTGCGATTGGCTAAATTGACATTTCGAATCATAAAACTTTTTTAAAAAAATATTTTTAATTTGGATGGTCTTGAAAATATACGAAAAAAACTTTGATTCAAATTGATGATAAAAATCTACGATTTTGAGGTGTTTTTTTGAGTGTTTTTGAACAAGTAGATGGGTAGATTTTGTATTTTAAAGCATGCAATGTTTTGGAAGTTTAATATGTGGATTTATCAACAAATGTATGACACGTCAATTTCGTTAAAATTATTTTGATTGGAAAAGCATTTATTTTTAAAGGTGAATCTGTCTAAATAGGAATTGAAATTTCGCTAAAAATTGTAGTATTTCTAACTATTCGTAGAACAATCATGATTATAGTTGAATTTGATAGCTCGAGAGTCGACTTTATAATTGTACTTGATATAGCCATTTTACTTTACGACTTCGATCATTCGGCAGAAACGAGTATTATAGAATTTCACTGTTGCAAATACACGTTTATTGCTTCTGGTTACCTCGTAGAGAAAGCTTATAATGACTGAATTCACAGGTTTTTTGAATTTTACATTTTGAAATCTTACCGCGTTTCTAAGTTAAGTCAGTAACCTAATTCGATAAATCCTTTGTGTCAGAAAGGATGTTTTTCATATAACATAATTCGTCGTAATTCACTTGTCATAATTCGTTGTAATCGTTGTTATGTGAAATCAGACATATGTAGAACGAATTAGCTACAACGAATTACAACGAATCGTAATTGCGGGGAACTACGACATAATTATGAACTATGACGAATTATGTTATATGAAAAGCAGCCTTAAAGGACGGCTATCTTTAAAACAGGGAACGGGGAATAGGGGAATGGAACGGGGAATGGAACGGGGAATGGAACGGGGAATGGAACGGGGAATGGAACGGGGAATGGAATGGCTTCGGGGAATGAGCCGGGGAATGAAATGGCTTCGGGGAATGTGCAGCTTGTGCGTCAGTGATTAAAACCTGTAAACGCTTCCATGTCACGAATCATGAGACAGCTACTCACAGTTTGAATTCCTTGAGGTAAAAGACAAAGCGATTACAAGCTCATAGTATAAATGCGATGTTTGCATTGTCATTGTGATGTACATTGATGTACATTAATATATAGATAGAATTTGCATGGGTAGGTGGTTCAATGTAAATCCTCCAAAATCTGAAGGCAATTAGTATAATACTGTAATAGTATTTTTTGCAGAAATCTTTTTAGTTCTTACTATGCCTTATAAAGCTCAATGTGTGTGATTAAAAGGTGAATAAAGATACTGACACAGTGTCACTTGTTTGTTTTTATTTCAGGCTATGTGAACAAGACCTCTGGACAGTTTTGTTTAAGCAGGAATAATGGTTGTGGTGGAAATGTGGTGAATGCATTCTTGACAAGTTAATGGGTTTGCTTCCAAGAATACACTGAAACTTGGAGCAACAATGACTTTGAATATAATTATGTAATTAATATATTATTTATTAATCTTAATTTATATGACTTTTTACCTCACATAATTCAAATAATGTTCAGATAAAGAGGTAAATATTTCACTGTTAATGGTGTAATAAATATTTTATATGTTGATTATATTCATAATGAATTATTTGTCCTGCTCCATACTTTGGCAATTCTGTTTAAGAAATCCCACCATAGTAGATCTTTTTTGAAATAGTTACAGTCAAGTTGTTGTCTAGTTTTAGTACAAAATAATACAAGTGCTACAATTAAACAAGGGAAAATAATAAAAATTAATTACATAAGCAAGCACATTTTCTATTTGAAAAGGTCTATGAATTGAGATGACATGTACTAACAATTTTGTGCATTAATTAAAGACAATTGTATTATTACTGTGGGTTCTTTAATATTGTCCAATACTCCCAGTGACATCCCACTGAATTCCTGCAGGTGTCTCAATCCATCAAACCAGTTTATCTTTTATTTCTATATTTAAGTCAGAATCAATGTATTCAATATCAATATGTTATCTTTTTGGAGACCCCCCAAGAAGAAATCCAGAAATTTTTCAACACCCCCCTTCTCATTTTGTACCATAATCATCCTGCCAAGGAAGGGGGTTGGCTTCAAGAACATGGTTCTCAATTCTGATGAAGAGAAAAAATTGCTTTTCTCCTTTAACAGACTTGTCAAAATAATGTTGTAGAACTTAGATATTATTTTTACATATTGATATTGAATACATTGATTCTGACTTAAATATAGAAATAAAAGATAAACTGGTTTGATGGATTGAGACACCTGCAGGAATTCAGTGGGATGTCACTGGGAGTATTGGACAATATTAAAGAACCCACAGTAATAATACAATTGTCTTTAATTAATGCACAAAATTGTTAGTACATGTCATCTCAATTCATAGACCTTTTCAAAATAGAAAATGTGCTTGCTTATGTAATTAATTTTTATTATTTTCCCTTGTTTAATTGTAGCACTTGTATTATTTTGTACTAAAACTAGACAACAACTTGACTGTAACTATTTCAAAAAAGATCTACTATGGTGGGATTTCTTAAACAGAATTGCCAAAGTATGGAGCAGGACAAATAATTCATTATGAATATAATCAACATATAAAATATTTATTACACCATTAACAGTGAAATATTTACCTCTTTATCTGAACATTATTTGAATTATGTGAGGTAAAAAGTCATATAAATTAAGATTAATAAATAATATATTAATTACATAATTATATTCAAAGTCATTGTTGCTCCAAGTTTCAGTGTATTCTTGGAAGCAAACCCATTAACTTGTCAAGAATGCATTCACCACATTTCCACCACAACCATTATTCCTGCTTAAACAAAACTGTCCAGAGGTCTTGTTCACATAGCCTGAAATAAAAAACAAACAAGTGACACTGTGTCAGTATCTTTATTCACCTTTTAATCACACACATTGAGCTTTATAAGGCATAGTAAGAACTAAAAAGATTTCTGCAAAAAATACTATTACAGTATTATACTAATTGCCTTCAGATTTTGGAGGATTTACATTGAACCACCTACCCATGCAAATTCTATCTATATATTAATGTACATCAATGTACATCACAATGACAATGCAAACATCGCATTTATACTATGAGCTTGTAATCGCTTTGTCTTTTACCTCAAGGAATTCAAACTGTGAGTAGCTGTCTCATGATTCGTGACATGGAAGCGTTTACAGGTTTTAATCACTGACGCACAAGCTGCACATTCCCCGAAGCCATTTCATTCCCCGGCTCATTCCCCGAAGCCATTCCATTCCCCGTTCCATTCCCCGTTCCATTCCCCGTTCCATTCCCCGTTCCATTCCCCGTTCCATTCCCCGTTCCATTCCCCGTTCCATTCCCCGTTCCATTCCCCTATTCCCCGTTCCCTGTTTTAAAGATAGCCTTAAAGGACGGGTTTTGCCTAAAGGAACTGTAGTAGTTACGTTATCATGTATAACTTGATATAGATATACACATAATATAGTGAGAGCATTGATATATAGAACAGGAGCACATAACACATAGACTGGGATTTTGCTAACTTCGTATTATTGATTATTACTAAATAAAAGAATATTATATTGGCGACGAGAATGGCGCAAGAACCAGACGCGCAAAATGCAATTACTCAGCCTTCTGTCTCAATTCAGCCAGTCGGTGAATTCAACCCTGACTCCGCAGTTGGCGAAAGTTTGGGCACCCGTTGGAACATTTGGATGCAAGACTTTGAAATGTTTATTCTGGCTAGCGGTATTTCTGATCCGAAACGAAAACGCGCTGTAGGTTTGGAACTGCTAGTCTATGTTATGTTCGTTAGTGACAACTGTGCTAATCACAGGAAAACATATATCTTAATCATTTATCTCAAGTACCATAGGAAATTAAGTTAACTAGATTTACGCATGGGTAAGGCATGCAGTTGGACCAGAAACTTGGCAGTATAGTTGAGGTATTCTGGCAGTAAGGAGCTAAAGGTTCGCAAGCAAAGAGCAAAATCTACAAGCTAAAGTAAAGTTCTGAGTTACTGGGAAAACATCTGTAAGTCGTTTTTTATTTGTATTTAGTTATTGTAAGGGTTTGGTTTAGAGTTACACTATATTAATTTAGGTTTATGTATTTGTTCTATTTAGTCGAACCACGTTTCACGCTCACGTTTCACGATTTGCATATCGTCAATTTCGGGTTAAAATTATATACAGATTATATACGAGTTTATGATCTATTATTGTCGTTGCCACTGGCAAAAGTGTATCTACCCATTCTGCGTGCGTTTTGGACTGTTTTCCCCCGCCTCAATTGTGCTCACACGTAAGCTTATACCGCATTGGGATTACTGTTTTAAGTTCGATGGTGTTAGAGCTTACACGCGCCTTACTCTTGTATCAAGCCGGACAACGTGTTCGCGAGATTTTTCGGCAAATTCCAGACACGAGAAGTGATAACGAATATGATGTGGCAAAGACACTGTTAAAGAAACTATCGACAAGTGCATCCCATGCCAAGCAGTAGGCAAATCACCACCTTCACAAACATTATCTGGGACGCCGATACCAAAAGGACCCTGGGAAACAGTGCACATAGATTTTTATGGACCTCTGCCTACTGGTGTGTACCTACTAGTAGCAATCGACCGATATTCAAGATACCCCGAAGTAGAAATCGTACGCTCGACCAAAGCGTCAACAGTAATACCAAAGCTAGACCAAATCTTCGCTAGACATGGCATACCAACCACCGTTAAGAGTGACAATGGTCCACCCTTCAACGGCACTGAATACAAACGTTACTTGGAAGTCCTAGGCATAAAAGCCCAACATTCGACCCCCAAATGGCCCCAAGGTAATGCAGAGGCAGAGAGATTCATGCAGCCTCTAGGCAAAGCCTTAAAGACCGCCAACATCGAAAATCGTCCGTGGCAGCAAGAGCTTAGCCGATTCCTTCTACAGTACAGAACCACACCGCATACATCAACTACTGTACCTCCTGCAGAACTGTTGTTCAATCGCACTGTACTAGGGAAATTCCCAATATATCAGTTAAACAAAA